CCCCACCCCGGCGCCGCTCGGCCGCCCCGAGGCCCCGACAGCCCTCCTCCGCCCCAGTTGGCGTCGTCGACGTAGCCGATCGAGGATCGCAGGGGCTCGTCCGTGTCCGTCCGCTCTCGCCGCTCCGCGCGCTTCGTTCGGCGCTCCTCCACCCACCCGTCGCCGCCGCCCCGCCCGGCTCCACCCCTCCGCTCCAGCAGTGCCGGCTCTCTGCTCGTCTGCCCACGCGTCGCCGACCTAACCTGCAAATCGGCGCAGGTCCCCGTCCGCGCCGCGAGCTGCCCGTGCACCCCGAGGGCGAGGCCAGCGAGCACCGCCGACCTAACCTGCAAATCGGCGCAGGTCCCCGTCCGCGCCGCGAGCTGCCCGTGCACCCCGAGGGCGAGGCCAGCGAGCACGTGCGCAGGAGAGGCTGGTGCGGATCGGCGCGCCCGCCCCGCCCCGCGCCGCTCGTGGGGACGGCCCCCCTTGCTGCCAGCGACGCCGTCTACCTTCCGGAGAACGGGGTCCGGTGTGTGGCAGAGTAAGCTCGGCGCTCCAAATGCTCGCGGGGCAACGCCCTTCTCGGCGCTTCGCTGGACTCGGTGCATGGGCCTCTCAGTCGAGTCGAGTAGGGCGAAGTGGACGCGGTCGCCTTGCTGGTGGGGTCCGCGGCCACGGGGTTGCTGAACCCCGTGTCGGAGTCGTCCACCGACACCCCCGCGCGGAGTGCGCACGGATGTGGTGGTGCGCTCGAGGGGCTGTGGAGTGGAGACCCCACGCCGCCAGGGACTCTGTGTTGTAGCGCGGGACTGCCATATGATGTGTGTCGTCTTGTTCGTTCCAACAAGTTACTTTCCTGTTCGAAAGCACCAACATCCCCGCCCCCTACTTCCCAACTCGCCACTTGTGTGTGTACCATGTGGCTGATGCACCCCGCTCAGTTCTGTAGTTATGCTGTACCGCAAGCAGATGTGCGGACGGGCTTGCCTATCGCCCCTGTCCACGACGCCGCACGGGGCCTGGCGAGTGAGTAGGCAACCCACCCGCACTCGTGCGTGAGGTACAGCATAACTATAACTACAGAAGTGAGCGGGCTTTATCAGCCACCTGGTATTTTTGTGGGCCGCTTTGATTGAATCTATCGTTTTCTTGTAATAATTTCTGTTGCGCATTTCTCTGTACTTCTATGAGCTGTAAGGTGTTATCACACTTATGATTGTTGTGTGTTGATTCGCGGTGGGCACCGTCAGAAGGGGATGAGCGGGTTGGAGGCAGTGCCGCCGGCGCCCGATGGATAGGCAGCCCCTCCACCGCGGCTGCTCTGCACGTACCTGGCCGCGGATAGTGTTTTTGGTTGAATTTCTCGAGTATTTTCGTGTATTTTTGAGTGAACATTTTATTCCGAGTTGTCTCCCCCCCCCCTCCTTTGTCGTCTTTTTGTCACGGACGAGTGTTCGGTAGTGTTCAGCACTAGCTGGCACGGTTGCGGGGTATGCGGCGACTTGGCTGCGTGATGACCCGAAACCCAAACACGAGTTCTCGTGCCTTAAGTTATAATGCACACGCTGATACCGTAGTGTATAACTTGAGAGTGTTCAACTCGGTACGTGTGCACTTTGTAAGTGTGCAACTCCTCTACACAAGGTGCTTGGATAGTGAATAAGCTATTTCAGAGAAATGGGAAAGAAGAACAGCACGAATAACAAGGAGGCCTGTGATTCGTCGCTCAGTTGGAGGGGGAAACAGTGCGACGAATCATGGGCCACCTTGTTATTCGTGCTGTTCTTCTTTCCCATTTTTCTGATAAAGCTTAAATGGGAGATCGTAATCCCTCGCCAAATTTTGCGACTAAACTACGCTTTGGAGGACTGATACAATAATTACGAATTGGTGACAGTGACAGCCGCGCATTTAAAGTACTTAGGCCTAGAATCCTGGAAAGCGAAAGCGCGTATTCTGTTTTGTCCTCGGTTTTGTCTTACCGGCTGTGCCGGGCCGCACCCTTGAGTGATAGCAATGATGACGCGCACGGCAGATGGGGCGGCAAACGCAGTGCAGAGATTGATAAAGTTCAAAGCGGGCAATGTAAGTACTCTACTCTGTTAAAGGACACCAGCAGTACATGGGTATAGATTTATACAGTGTAAAATATCACAGTAGTGTGCTCGTTTGCTGTCGGATATGAAATCGGACACGCCTTTAGGACCACAGGTAGACTGAGCAAACTAAACATTTTCTCCGTGCGTTGAAAGTGAAGGGTAAAACTGTAGGGTTGCTGTAGGGATTATATATTTGAAAAATGGGGGTGTGTTTTGGATTTCACGGGAGCTGTAGACCCCTGTAGAGCCCTCGGGCTCATCATTTGTTCAGTGCCTCGCGTGTGCCTCGTCCCACTCGTCCCACAGATTGAAATAGTCGGCAAAGTAGTTTCTAAAAACAAAACAACAACAACAACAACAATGAAAAACAATATTATATAATTGTACTATCTCGGAAACGCGTAGAGTAGTCATAGTATCCCTGCATGGAGCTTCCCTTAACACCTTTGTCTTTTCAGTGTTGTTGATAGGATTTACCTCTTGCACGAAGCATCTGTACGTCCCATTAAGTTAAAATGAAATAAAGTCTTATTTGAATCATTTTCATATTAAATTATAAGGAAATATCGCAAGAGGGAAAATTGAGTGAGCAGTTTTACACCATAACGCAGCAGCTGGAGTATGAACTTGTCCGTCGACAGACAGCTCAGTATTGTACTGAGAGATCCCCCCAATAACAATTTGCAGCCCGCTGTTGGGCGCATCTCGCTTCTTGTTTGTGGCCTGAGCGGGAATTAATACACACCGGCTTGGCTGACATAGCCGGGCGTTTGCCATTGGAATCTAGAACCCTTGGCCCTGGCCAACGCGCACGCACGCCCGCCCACACACACAGACACACACACACGTACGCAGACACAAACACGCACGCACGCACACAGAAAATAACACCACAGCACAAGGTATCCCGACCAAGTGGGCGCTTCGAAATATCTGTGTGACGGACGGGTGTATCAGAGCGGGGACGCCGCAGTGTTGAGGGTTTGCCTGTCCCCCCCTCCTTCATGAGGGCGCCATGGCCCCGGCGGACCAAGAGGGTAAGCAATCCCGCAAACTCTGCGTGGTGTCCATACCTGATAATACAGAAGGTGTCTGAGGGGTATATTAAGAGGAAACCAACGCCACTCTGTCGCCCCTGTCCTAGAACAGCAAAACACATTTTGAGTTATTGTATCAAAAACAAAAAAAAAAAAAAGCAAACTGTGATTTCAAATCGGTGAACACCCTCGCGCCCTTGATCCTCCCCACCCTAGCCGGTCCGCTGCTCCGAACGAAAATATTGTGCGGCAACCTTCGCAGACAAAATAATGAGAGGATCCCTGTCCCGGCAGCCACCCCCCCCCCCCCTCATTCCCCGAGGCTGTCAGGTTCACCGAGCCCACGTGTCCTCGCTTTTGTTATACATTTGTAGCCTACATTGTATGAGGTGGCGATTTGTTTTGTCAAGCGAGTTTGTAACTCTGCGCGCCGCGTTCACCGCTTAGAGCTTGCCTTGCGCTGCCTACAAGGCGGGCGCACC